AAAGTATTTCAAATCTTTCTCTGTTTTATCAGGGTGGCATCTTCTCAGATGTTCTTGCAGTTTAGATGGTTTCATAGCGTCATTGCCCAAAACTTTGTTGCATAAAAGGCACATAGGCGATTGTTTGTCCGGCAATGATGGAATAAAGAAAAATTTCAAATAATCAACACTGTACTGTCTACATTTCTTTTTAGATTCGGACATGGCATCAGTCATCTGTGGGCATAATTAAATTATTTAAATAAGACAGAAAATCTAGCAGCTGTATATTAAAAATATTTTTGGATTTTTCCGAAAATATTTTATATTTTATAATTCGAACATCTTCTTGCAACAATTAGCTCGAATTACGGAGATTGCACTGTAATTATATTACCGATTGCTAAAACTTTCAAAAAGTAACTATTGAGGAGTACTCTTGTAATTTTGCATGATTGAATATTTAACTACTAATAACTAAAGTCATGATTGGCGTAATTTATCTATCTTTGCTAACTACGAGTACAAAACTAAAATTTAATAAAAAATAATGTACTTACTTTTCTCCAGCACTCTCAAATAAAATAACACTGACTCACTATAATTTGTGTGATATACTATCTGTTTATATTTTTAAAATATTTTCTTAGCACTTTCCTTTTCAAGATTCAGGAAACGAATAAACGTATTTGTCCCACATTCGTATTTATAGAGTGACGAATTGAACAAGTCAGTGCAAGGTAGCGAAGCTCTGAGACTGCGACTCTTTACAAGTTCAAAATGTATTGCGACCACAAAGCGAATACCAACATCCTACAACTTACACAATTTTATAAACATATAAATTGTTTACTTCATAGGTACTGTTATAAATAATGTATATGTTTTGATATTATAAGATAGTAGATGTAAGTAAGTAGGTACTATCAGTGTATGTGTTGAGATCCACTATCGTGGACCCCCATATTCATTGCACAAACCTCCAATTTTTTTTTCTCTGACGTAGACCCCTTGCAGGTTGTCATAGACCTCTAGGGGTCGTTATAGACCACTTTGGGAATCAATGTTCTAGAGTGTCATTATTGATATTTAGTTTAGACAAGAAATCAGCCTTGCTATATTTCAAAACTATTAGCTCCCCTAAAAGCTTTCAACTATGCCCTGGAACAATGTGAAACTTGATCATAAATGAAAAACAAATTTTGAATATTTTTCAAAATACTGACCCTCAAAAAAACCTCATCTGATGAGGCCGTAAATTAGCGGTAGTCGTGCATCAAACCATGCAAAAATAAACTTTGGCAAGGATTTTAAACTGTTTCGTTGCTTGCCTTCGCTGCCATTGCATCGATTCAAAAAAAGGTTTTACCTTTTCCATTAAAATCGGTGCAACCGTTCTTGTAATTTCGCAGTTAGACTAATGTCTAACATATAGTCAACTAAGAAATGGATTTGCATGATGAATTACAAAAAAAGTTTAATGTCACATTTGACACATCTTCTGTGGTTTTTAATTCTCATCCGATTTAGGTGGATAGCCGAGTGCTGCCAAAGGGCGATTCGTTTCGGCTGGTCGGAGTCTCGCACCCGGATTACGTAACTTAAGAAGTGACATTATATCGTTTTTTTTTGACATATTTTTTTACGTTAACTTTGTTTTCCAACAGTTTTTAAGATGGAGAAAACCACTTGTATTATGTCTTACCAAAACACATGCTACAGAAGACATCACTGATGGTGAATTACAAATTACTAATTATGAAACCTACAGATGCAACTCCAACTCCAGACATACTGGAGGTGTAGTGATTTATGTTTACCACAAAATACATATCACATTATTCGATTGTACCACTTTAGACTATGCATACTGGTATGCACATATATAGTTCAAATTATTTGGGAAACTTTATGATCTTTGTACTTTTTACCGTTCACCAAACTGTGATGCGGATACATTTTTAACGTTTTTTGAAGAAAAATGCGAAGAAATGTGGAATTTTAGAAACAATATAATACTTTTAGGTGATTTTAATTTAAATTATTATGGTAAAAGCATGAAAACAAGAAAATTGAAAGAAACCATAAACAACTATGGGTTCAAGCAAAAAATTGAAGAGAGTACCAGAATAACATCATTATCAGAGACTTTGTTAGATCTTGTTATTGTAAATTTCGAATGTGCAGGGATTAAAGCTGTACATACACCTAAAGTTAGCGATCACAGTTGGACAATGCTGCCCTTGGTAGGGCATTTTTCTGATACAAAAATTAAGAAAATCGTAAATACTATTAAGTACGAAAAACTTGAACGAGAACTTGCTGGCTGCTATTGGAATTTTGGTGAGAATATGGAAAAAATATATGACAACATAATAGGAAATATAAAAACTTGTTTAGATCTTGCAACTGATAAAAAACTGATTTGCTCGACAAAAAATACACCCTGGTATAACAAGAATATTAAGGTAGCTCAAAATTTGAGAGACAAACAATACAATAAATGTATATTCACAAAATCAAATGATGATTGGGAGGTATATAAAACTCTTAGGAATAAATGTGTATATGTAATTAGAGAAGAAAAAAGAAAATTCTACGATAAACAAATCGATAATAACAAGTGCGACAGTGTAAAGATGTGGAAGACTTTAAAAAGACTGATCAATTCGAAGCCGCATGATTGTGTAAATCAAGTTCAATTCGAAAACGGTACCGAAACAAATTCTTTGGTGATTGCAAACAAACTAAATGAATATTTTGTGGAAAGTATTGTTGATATTGTGGGTACTGCCAATGCTGCACCGGACTATATGAAAATCAGTTTCCAGGGGGAAATGTTGCATACACTTTCAAAATTTCACAGCGTATCATTGAATTATCTAAGAAAAAAGTAAACAGTTTAAAATCAAATAACAACTGTGCCGAAATCACTACTAAAAACGTGCTGAAAAACTGTTTCGAAATTTTGGGATATCCTGTATTAAATTGGATCAATTGTTCACTGAGAAGCAGTTCTTTTCCTGAAAATTTGAAATGCTCTATAATAACACCAGTTCCCAAAATAAAAAATTCTAAAAGATGCAGCGATATGAGACCAGTAAATGTGTTACCAGACATTGAAAAATTATTAGAGTCCATAGTGCATGACCAATTAATGCATTTATAGAAGAAAACAAAATTTTAATTGACGCGCAAGCAGGCTTTCGAAAAAAATATTCCACAGAAACAGCTTTCCAGTTGGTAATTGAGAATTGAAGAAGAGCCATAGACTCAGAAGAAGTTGTCATAGCAGTATTTTTAGATTTGAAGAGGGCATTTGAAACGATTGATAGAGATATTTTGTTAGGTAAATTGAAGGCATATGGTATAACAGGAAGTGTTTTAGATTGGTTTAGAAATTATTTGTCTAAAAGGATGCAAGTTACAACAGTTAATGACACTATTTCATCAAAAATTGAAAATACGTTGTGTGTTCCACAGGGCAGTATCCTGGGACCACATCTTTTTATTTTATACATAAATGATTTACCTGCCATAGTCAAAAAATGCAAAATTCAGATTTTCGCCGATGACACTATGATTTATGTACTAAAAGTATTCAGTCTGGTATCTCTTATATAAATGAAGACTTGAAGCTTGTCTCAAAATGCATGCATCTAACAGACTAAAATTAAATGCAAGTAAAACGAAAGCCTTGTTAATCGAAAAAAAAAACAATGTACAAATGTTCAACCGAATATTGATTGTGAAGAAGTAGTAAAGTGGGATATTTATCGAGAGTTTCTGGATGTCTGAGTTCATATAGCAGAAAAATTATCTATAATACCATCATTGTTCCAAATTTCTTGTACTGTTCGACTATTCTATATTTAGCAAATAATTCCATTTTTGAAAGACTGCAAATTTTACAAAATAAGTACATGAGAATAATACCAGATAAAGATAAATATACTAGAATTAGGCAAATGCTTAGCAAATTAAAATGGCTCAATGTAAAAATTTTTATCAAATATCTTGTAATGATATTCATTTATAAAGTAAAAAATAATATATTTCCATCAAGTCTAAAATCACTTGTTAAATCTACAATTATAGGTTGCCCAGCATTTACATCATACACCATAAATGGCTTGAATTTACTAGTTCTAAGTTGTTTACAATTATTCTGTTTATGTAGCCAAATGTGCTAAATAAATCTTTCTACTACTACTACTATATAATGTCACCTTTGAACTAGCTGACATTCACTTCATGCTCGCCTGTAGTAAACGCGGAATGAACTAGCGCACACTAGCAGCTACCTAGTACACAAGTTGGCATTTTACCGATTTTTTTGACATTACGTAGGTTTTTAAGTAATAACCATACATATCACCGAGGACTTGATTTGGCACGAACACATGTCAATAATCGCGACAGCTGCTGGAAAGAAGCTACGAGTAGGTTATTTGCTTAACGCGAAGAAGTAGTTTTCTCCGCATAACCTCCTCACTCTGTACAAGGCCCAGATAAGACCTGGCCTCGAGTACTGCTCACATGATTGGGGTTCTGCCGCCCCGACAACGGAGTCCATACTCGAAGCTATTCTGAGAAGGACTGTTCGATTGATCAATTACACATCTCTAACAAACAGTCTTGGAATTATTTTGCTCCGACGGGCAGGTTTCTGCCTACGCGACCTCAATATTAAAAAACAATATATGTTGAAATTACTGTTTACTGATGTTTTGACCACCGTACCGTGTCCTCTTTCGAAGTACGGATCAATGACAGTGAAATGTATATTATATTTATCAATCTTTCAGGTGACAGTTCAATTGTTTTCTTCGCTACTATATAGTCTGTTGGAGTAACAGCCTGTCCTGAACCCAGCCGTGATCACATTCATCATTACAATTTTAGGATGGCAGCTGACTACCCCAGGCTGTTCTGACTTTTCTCTGGTCTTGCGCGGCACCATCCAAAACTTGTAAAGGTCCGCGCTCATTGACGGGGAAGTGAGTAACGTGGTCTACATTGTCACTCGACAATGCTGGCTGTCTCTTTCTGACTTCATTGTCCAACATTGCTGATTGAAATTCTCTCCTCAATGTAAGTGCACATTTAGGGCCCCCGCAGACTGCAGACTTTCTATCGGCCGATAGTTTAGTCGGGTTGGGCTGCCAGTGCGCACGCCGAGCCAACTAAACAGTTTGGTTGGTGGAGAGTGCGCATACTAGCCAACAGTCGGCCGATGATTCTTAAGCTATTTACGATTCACTAGTTTGTATCTGACTGTTGAAGTAGCTGTCGCACAATGAAAGTAAATACAATATTGTCCAGAAATGTTATTATTGCTCTGATACAACGTAGGAGGAAAATCAAGAAAAGATTCCGAGAGTACTGGGTGCATCCCATTCTCAGTGATAGATTAGTTGCTGGAAAATTTTACACAATGCATTCCAAATTACTGGATTATCCGAGAAAATTTTTTGAGCATAACCAGCTTCAATGAACTTGTCAAGCTAATTGGACCAGCAATAGCGAAGGAGGATACAAATTTAAGGCTTTCTATACCTGTGGAGTAGAGATTGAGCGTTACGATAAGGTAAGATAAACCACAAATACTTTTCAATTATTTTTATTAGAATGCAAACTACAAAATTCGGTATTTTGAGAGATTAAGTTGTTTACAGATCGTATATTTGCGAATTAGTTGAAAAATTTGAATAATAAGACTGGACTGTCTCGTTGGAGTTGCCTGGTGATGAAATGTTTTGAATGGTTGTGGGTGGCAAATTGGGGGATGGTGTAGACCTAGTTGTATAAGCCTGTGATTGTTGTTGTGGTGGCATGTTGTTAGTCCCTCCATAAAGAGGAAAAGAGGACATAGGTTGCTGTACTGTGTTGTACCTATATGTTGGCTGAGTAGATTGAACACACCTAGCTAGTCTTATCTGTTTAAACACGTTCAGAATACCTATTTTAGCATCCAGTTTTTCTTCTGCGGTTAAATTTTGGAGTGAAGGGACTAGAGACAAAGCAAAGTTTACATCTTCATCAGCATTAGTCGCATTTAATGATTTTAATAATGCTTCAACCAAGTCCGTATGCTTCGATACATTAGGCCTCTTCTTCCGCTGACGAATAGGGGTGGAAGCAGATGGTCCAGCTTGCTCATCATCCTCATCATTTTCTTGAGAATTGTCCTCCTCCAGATTACCTTCAGTACGTCGGTTTTCCATGCATGGGAGTAAAAATAATAACTGTTCAAAGTAGACATATTTACGCCTCTTGGTCGCAGCTTGTCCCGATTTAGTGTTTTTTTGTGCATTTAATTCTCGACGAAAGCAAGTCCTTAAATTAGCCCATTTTTTTTTCCTCGCGACCTGAAAAATATTGGAATATCATTAATTTATAATTTATTTCTTTACAGATATCTGGCTACTGGAGCTAGTTTCAATACATTATCTTTTGATTATCTGATGGGCGCTTCTACAATACGAGACATTACTAAAACTACATGTGAGCAAATATGGAATGTGCTTCAACCATTGTATATGCCAATCGAACAAGAAGGCGACTGGATTAAAATCGCAGACGAATTCTATAGTCGCACAAATTTTCCAAACATCATTGGAGCGATAGATGGCAAACATATACGGATGATACAGCCAGAACATTCCGGTTCGTCATATTTTAACTACAAAAAGTTCTTTTCTTGCGTGTTAATGGCTTGGACAGACGCAGATTATAAATTTGTATACATTGACGTTGGTTCTTATGGAACAGCTAGCGATTCGGAAATATTAAAAAGATCAGAAATGGGTAAACGGCTTTCTGAAAATCGATTATATATTCCCCCTGGAAGGCATTTGCCTAATGATGATGTCGGGGATGTTATTCCATTCTCTGTCGTAGGGGATGAGACGTTTGGACTTGGGAATCACATATTACGTCCATATGCAAAAAGAAATTTAAACTACACCAAACGAATTTTCAACTATAGACATACAAGAGCTCGACGAATGGTTGAGTGTACATTTGGGATTCTCGCTAACAAATGGCGTATTTTTCACCGATCAATAGATGTCAATATCAGTTTTTGTGTCCGAATTATTAAAGCTTGCTGTGTCCTGCATAATTATGTAAGAATCAAAGATGGACTAAATTTTACAGAAACTCTCTACAGCTGTCCCATGGATAACTTGACTATAAATGAAAACAACCGAGGAAGAAATAATATGAATAACGTGCGACAGTACATGTCGTCATATTTTATTTCTCCTGGAGGCGCAATTCCGTGTCAATATAACAAAGTGTAATAATGTAGTAATTAATGTAATAACAAATGTAATAAGTATTCAGCTACACCTACGTACATAAATAAAAATTCACATGAAGCGTTACGTACCTTTGTTTGTTCTGTCCTCGGCATTAAGGTGATTCCAACCAAGAACAACTGCTTCACAAACTTCCTCCCACAATTTTTTCTTGAGATTTGCGTCGGAGTACTCTTTTAAAGTTTTTTTATAAAGCGCAGGTCTTTTCTCGACTTCTTCAATCAACTGTACGATGGACGTTTCTACAATCAACGATTGTGAATTTGGCGATGCCATATTAAAAATATACGCACGAAACGACTGTCCAACGCCAATGGCCGGAGCGAACTGAGCCATCGGCCGATTGAACAATCGTCGTGTGTGCGCACGTGGAAGTTAGCCAATACTGATTAAGCAGTCGGCCGACAGTTGGCCGACAGATCAGTTTGAAGGAAATCGGGAAGCCCATCAAACTTTTTTATCGGCCGATACTGAATCGTTGTAATGTGCGCATACGCATAACTCTCCATACTGATTAACAAGCCGACCAAACTATCGGCCGATAGAAAGTCTGCAGTCTGCGGGGGCCCTTATGATGACTGCGCAATTTCATCGTAGCACAGGACGTCCAGGCTTTTGTTGCAGCACACTGCATAGTAGTGGCAAAAACAAACGAACTGTCGCCGAGAAGACAGGTGGATGGGCTAGTAACCAGGGGCTTCACGAAATTAGTGGCATCTTGCTTTTGGATGTTTCGAAGGCATTTGACAAGGGCTTCTTCTACAAATTGGCCCAAACGGGCTTCCCCTTCTAGCGCTTAAAACTTTTGAAATCCTTCATTGAGGGTAGGAATTTATTATTAAAATTGATAAATGTTTTTTCGGCAACCCGGCCCCATCAGAGCCGGTGTCTCTCAAGGTTCGGTTCTTGGACCAATCCTTTATTCACTTTTTATTCATGACGGCCCTTGTCCCAGCACCTGTGAAGTCTATCCGTATGATACTGCCCTGGTGGCGCAGACGCGTTCTGGGAATCTGGTTCATGATAGTCTGCAAAGTACGGTGGACGAAGTATTGGAATGGGCGGATCTGTCGCTGATCAAAAATAATCAATCACAAACGCAGATTACACTGATAAACACAGGATTTGTGACATGACAATTTTTGGGTATATCTTATGTATTTTGAGACCCTTAAATCAAATCTAAAAACAAAACTTTTCACCCACAGATATTCGGTAATATCTACTTTTATGAATTACAATATGTAACATCTCATATTGCTACATTTCTCGGCGTTTATGCGATGACGCATATATATAATGTTAAGACCTGTCTATTCCTGTTTATTATATGCGAGCTCTATGTTTAGAGAGCATATTGCCTTTATTAGTAGACTAATAGCAGCCGAGTCAGTTACGTTTCCTGTGTTGAAGGGTGCGGAGATGTTCTAAGTACTGTTAATTTTTGTTAAAACGGTGTGTTGTTTTTAGTTTATTGATAAACGAGACTAGCTTTATGGAAAATGCCTATAAATTGTGTAAATAGTGCGAACAGTTTTTTTTTAGGTGTGCGGAGAGCTAACTTTTAAATCCCAAAAACGTACTTTTACTCCCCTTCTGTTGAAAGCATACGAACTTTATTTTGAAATTAAAGTTGGCGACCAAGATAAACTATGGCCCCCTTGTATATGTTGTAAGATTTGTGTAACGTTGTTAACAGGTTGGTTAAGACGCGACAATCGTAAAACGCACTTTGCGGTACCAATGGTTTGGAGAGAACCGAGAGTACCATACTACTGAATGCTATTTTTGCCTCACAAATATTAAAGGTATTGGACCAAAATCGAAACATACTATTAAGTATTTTAATTTACCATAATCTTTGCGGCCCGTTAAGCATAGTAATGAAGTTTCTGTCTCAGTTCCACCAGAATCTTGGTCTTTGGATGAATAAGTCGAATCCACCGATTCTAAAAGTGATGGTACAGAAAGTGTAAAAATTTCCAATCCTTTGTTTGACCTGCCAGGATGTTCAACAGCGCCGCATTTGATCACACAGGGCGAACTTGATGACTTAGTTCGAGAATTAAATCTGTCAAAATCCCAGTCAGAACTTTTAACATCAAGATTAAAAGGATGGAATCTTCTCCACAGTGATGTTAACATTACTTTGATTGTTGATATATTGCTCCGATGTCAACAATTTGTTTGACGCGTTAGGACCGAAACATGATCCAAATGATTGGCGCCTCTTCATTGATACTTCTAGGCTTAGGTTGAAACCGGTATTGGTACACAACGGTAATAAATATCCATCTGTACCTATAGCGCACGCAGTTCATATGAAGGAATCATATGAAAATATGCGAGTTCTGTTAGAGCATATCCGTTATAATGAGAATATGGATGGGTCATATGTGCAGATTTGAAGGTAATAATATCCCTTCCTCTTGGAATGCAACTGGGATATACCAAATATTGTTGTTTTCTTTGTGAATGGGGCAGTCGTGCGCGAGATCGTCATTATGAAGAGAAGGAGTGGCCACTACGTCAGATATGAACTCCGGGCCTCAAAAACATTGCTCATGAACCACTAGTTGATTCCAAAAACGTGTTGCTTCACCATTGCATATTAAGTTGGGACTGATGAATAATTTTGTGAAAGCTATGGATCGAAATGGAAGAGGGTTTCTGCATTTAAAACAAACATTACCGAGACTTATTGAGGCATATTTGTGGGTCCACAAATACTGAAAATCATGAAGGATGATGTATTTGACAGTGCTTTAAATGAAACTGAATTACGAGCTTGGAATGCTTTTAAATCAGTTACTGCAAAGTTTTTACGCAATTTCTTAGATATTGCGAGTTCCACCAAGAAGACATTTCTGCTATGGACAATTTGTTTGCTGATTATTTCTGGACATTGTTAAGAGATACTTCAGGAGCAAAATATCGCCGTAAAACATCGACAAAAGCATTCTGAGATTGATTTTTACTCGAGTGTTTATTAGTATTCTTACACACATATCCATATATTTTACGAGTATAAGCAGCAAATAAAATGGCTTATTGCAAGAAAACCGTGGGTGATAGAAAATATCAAATGCTATTTCTGGCTTTTTGGGTACGTTTTACATGGTAACCACCTTGTTTTGTCCATGTCAGAAAAAATTATTTTAATTTTGTTCACCAGTGCTGTCTATTGTTCTCAAAAACGTAGCGGCGACCGGTTTCAGTGAACGGAGCTCGCGTACCATGAGAAAATTCTGATAAATATCTTGGTGTCACTTTCGACAACGGGATGACTTGGCAGAAGCATGTCAAGTACTAAATTCCAAATAACGTTTCTGCAACTCTACCCTATGCTATGTAGAACCTCAACATTAAGTTTGATCAACAAATTTTGGCTATACAAGATGGTTATCAGACCAATGATCTCTTACGCATGTGCGGCTTGATGTTTTCTCGCCAAAACGAATTTGCGTAGTCAGCAGGTTTTGCAGAACAGAACCCGTGGTATGTCTCCAATGGACCTTGATATCCCTTACCTGAGGGTATGCAGCAAAAACAGCTATGCTATAGTCAAGCGGAATCGCATAGCAACTATTTGTTGCGCGAGGAAGTAGACTACACAGTCGAGCTAGTTCGCAAACACACAAGGCCACGGCCCGCACTGTGAACAAAATTAAATTGTGCGACTTTAGGTCCAATTATTTTTCTTCAATAACCGATCTCTAAATTTATTCTAGGATCAAGTTAAAATTCCAGAATACTAGTTAACAATGCCAAGGCACCCCTCAAATTGACGCACTTCTTCCTCTTTGCTCTCCCTCCTTCCTTAATTTCTTCTTCTCTTCTTTCTTCCTGACTTACAATACTTTAACCAAGAGCAAAGGTCCTACGGACCGCTCTTTTGAAGAATATAGAAAAATACATTGTCATTGACTTTGAAAAAGGCCACCGAGGTGGCTCAAACGTCAGTAAAGAGTGATTTCAACATGTGTTTTTTATATTGAAGTAGTTGCAGGGACATAACAATAAATAAAGCGGTCTTAAGGGTGCCATCTTCGTAATAAAACAGTGATTTAGATCAACTTCCGGAACAGCTGCAATAGTGTATTTTTTAAATTGCATATTAAATATTCAATCATGGAGCAGCTATTTTATAGATAGATGTCCGCATTCCCATAAGCATGGATGCAGATAAAGAATTATACATGGTGATTAAAAAAATATGTCTAGCAAGGGAACCGCATTTAAAAATATCATGTTAAGTTTTTGTAAACATAGGTTCTAGAATGCTCCTTATTGAAATGCAGGGAGATGGTATAAACAAATATTAGTAATTAGACTCCATGATTGCATGGCCGCGTCGGTAAAAAGTCTGTAATTCAAACATATCGTATAGGCGTGAAAACTACAGTAAAGTTCCAAGTTCCAGACTGAACCTGGTATCTAGGAAGTGGCATAAGGTAGGTGCCCAATGGAAGGCCCTCATAAAAAATAAACAGTTATTTTTATCAGCAAATATATTTTTTTAATAACTATCTCAATCCATGTTTAGTGAATTTTAGTTTTATTAAACTATTCCATACAGGGTCAATACAATAAATCAAAAACTCAAGATAACGTTGTAATCGAATAGCTGCCTATATTAAACTACGTAACATATTCTTATAAAAATACATTATGTCTTCTTTAGCACTAAATTTGATGATGATTACTCAAGTCCTATAGTACTAACAAAGCAAAAGCAAAAATAGATTATCCTACAGTGCTTTTCAAAAAGCCGGGGTCATGAAATCTATACATGAATACTATTTTCACACCCTGTACAGTGTGCTAGGGCACATACAGCTACTGTGTCAGCTTTTGCATTTTTGAGGTCTCTGTGCTGTGTTGTCAAATTGTAGGTCAGGCATGTTGTCGGTTAGTAGTCAGGTAGCAGATTGGGCCCCAGCAAAAAATTAGTAAATTTGTTATTCCAGTGAGAATGAAGTAAATGTCACCTAGATCAAAGGTGAAATTTTATAGGAAAACCTACATAATGTCAAAAAACCTACAAAAAGTCATAAATAATCGATAAGAAAACACAAGTTCACTTGTTATTATAAGCAACACTATCGCAAAACTAATATTGGAAATAAATTTAATATTGTAGATACATCAAATAAGCTGCCAATAGCATTTATAATGAAATAAAAAATGTTCATCCAAAATGGCCTGTTCTCAACATTGTGACTTCATACACAATGTTCCAGATGATATTCGACATAAATATACAACTCAGTAAATGTTGAGGTGATACAACTTAAAAGCAGGTAAAATATACTCGACTTTTTCCTTCATTTAAAATCAAAGTATTAATATTTTCGTGATTTCGAGATATTCCTTATAAAGCCCTTGCACCCTGGTATGAAAACTGTCAGGTTGATTATATTTTAAATAAAATTGAATAAAGTGGTGATTTTATCTTTAGCGCCATAGGAAAGACTTCAATTCAGAGTAAAAAAAAATAGTTCGTTTAATGATTTAAAATTAAAATGAATAAATATATTTAAACTAGCGACGTTTTTAATACAGGTATAACATATTTAAATAAAGTAT